TTGAGATTTAATCTTGTGGATGTGGATAACCAGTTTTCCCAGAACCATTTGCTAAAGAGGATTTCTTCCAATGTTTTTTTTTTTTTTTTTTTTTTCTTTTTGGTCTTTTTTGTCAACAATTAGAGAGCTGATTGCGTCTGCATCCTCTGTTCTGTTCCCCTGACCCTTGTGTCTGTGTCAGTGCTGTGCTGTTTTTATCACTGTGACTTTGTAATGTGACTTAAATCGGGCACTGTGATGCCTCCTGCTGTGCTTTTGTCGCACAGGACTGAGTTCTTTATTCTGGCTCTCTTGGTTCCATATGTTTTGTAGCGTTGTTGTTTCCAGTTCTGTGCAGAACGCTGTTGGTATTTTTATTTGGATGGCATCAAATCTGTATGTCAGTTTTAGAAGTATGGACGTTTTGACAAAACTGGTTCTGTCTATTCAAGATAGAGAATATCTTTTTTATTTTCAAGAGAAAAGAGATAAATAATGAAACCAAGTATGGGGATATCTTTGATCTCCTTTTACAGAATGGTATAGTTTTCATTGTAGTGATCTTCTACTTCTTTGGATAGGTTAATTACCAAGTATTTAATTTTTCTTGATGCTCTCATGGGAGGTATTAGTTTTCTACTTTATTTCCCCAGTGGCTTCATTATTGGTGTAGAATGGTATTGATTTCTTGGTGTTGATTTTGTACCCTGTTGTATTACTGAATTTGGTTATTAACTCTAGGAGTCTTTTGATGGAATTTATTTCTATCAGTTACAAAGGACTTTACACTTTGGAAAAGGCTTTCTGATGTCCCTAAGTTACCACTTGTCTATAAGTGATCTGAATTCATTGAAAGACATTTTTGTAGATGCTCTAGCTTTCTTTCATATTAACATTTATAAACTACAGAACTTTCTTTCAGGTGACTCCATTGTTTTGCAGAGCTTTTTGCCCTGCTTTGATCATATATTCACAACTGGATTTTCAACAGAAATATGGCAATCTGTAATAGAAAAGTTGGCAAGGAAAGGATTATGGCATGTAAGTAAAGGGGAATATCTCTCCTAAGGGGAAAGTAGACTCTTGACTAAATAATTTCTTTTGCCACTGAGTGATTATAATGTATTATTTATTGATCTTGATCTCAGCATAATTTTTAAACTGAAATCCCAATAAATATCAGAAGTCATTGAAATGTATAATCAGTTAGTTCTTATTCCTTTTAAGATGGTAAAAATACTCCTCACTCTTTGTTGTGTCTCCATTATCATCCCAGAAATATAAAGTCTGGATGTTAATGATAATGTAAAATAAGGAGAATCAACAATTGCATGTTCATCTTTATAATCTTTTTTATTCTGGCTCATCATTAGCATGGGCTCAGGTAGCTAATCCATGCTACTCAGAAGGGTTTCTGTATAGTTTGAGGGACTGCTAGCCAGTGAATAGTAACTAAATGAGGTGGTGAGACTTAGAAAAGTTGCTTAACATCTCTGGGATTCAACTTCATCAGTGACTTTTAGATAGAGTCAGGCATTAAGCAACTGGATCTCTGAAAACAGAATCCTGCATTGTAGCATTAACCAGTTTCTATATACTTTCATCATGATCAGTTTTCAGCTGTCATTATGATTAATGGCACTTGCTGTTGGGAAGAAATGTGCACAGCTAGCCCACCAGTGAGAGGAGCTGGTTGCAGCACATTGTTTGATAGGGCCCAGATACTTGTGGCTGATGAAACACTGATGTGCTTGAGAATAGATTGGAATGGGATATTTCTGAAGGATTTGAGTCTTGCGCCTGCCATGTTTTAAGAACTTTGCATGGTTTTTTTTCTTTTTACCCAGATGCAAATGTGTTCTTGGCCATGCTACTTAATGTCTGTGGCTCCTGTCCTCAGCAGGCTTTGAGGAAATATACAGAGAACTTGGTCCTTAGCTAAAATAATAAGTTTGCTAGGCAGAGAGATTTTGGTTATTGTGGCTTAGGCTGAAAAATTTGGTACATAGCTTAAATTTTTTTTTTTTTTTTAAGAGAGAAGGCCATGATATATGGTTGAGGCTGGTCTTGAACTCACTGTGTAGCCCAAGATGTCTTTGAACTTGTAGTAATCCTCTTGCTTCAGCCTCCTGAGTTCTGGGGTTACAAGCGTGGACTACCATGCCTGGCTGATAGGTGGTTTAAGATAGAAGACAAAATTAGAAGCTTGTTTGTCGTGGTTTTTTTGTTTTGTTTTGTTTTTTGTATAAGCCTTAAAATAACCATTTTCAATAATATGGGGAACATTATTACTATTCCAACTTTTCTTTTTATTCCTTTCTATCAGTCATTTCTACTCTTGGCAGCAAAAAAAGACCGACTACCAGGAAATATCCACGTCCCTGACTTGTCATTGAAAAGTCTCTTTCAGGTAAGTTGGCTTCTTGAAACTGCTGATTTCCAGTCAGTCCACTTTAGCCTTGTATTTGGGAGTTCTTTTAGCTGCTTCATCACAGATTTGTCACATACAACAATCTTAGGTGTGAGCCTCAGCTAACCCAATTTTTACTGATTGCAAACTTTAGTGGGAGAAGAAATTTGAAGTTTTCTATTGATGTCGTAACTCCCATAATTCTTCCTGTGTGTCTTTTTTTTTTTCTTCAGAAGTATGTCTTCCTCGGGCTTTATGAGAAAATGGAGCAGGTACCCAAGTTAGTCCAGTGGCTCATCTCCCTTGGTGCAAACATTGAGACTATAGGACCATATCCCCTTCATGCCCTCATGCAACTCTGCATCCAAGCAGGTGAGTGCTCCCCCAGTTCACCTCCAACTACCTTCCAGCTTGGAGCCTTGGGGCTCCACTGTGCACAAGTGAAATCAGAAATCAGCTACCTAATTGTAGACTACCCAAGTAATTTTAGTTTTCAAATAGAGGAAAGCAACAGGAGAATAGCATCACTTTTATTTCTTTTGGGACCTAGTAACTCCAAGAGGTTCAGATCAAAAGGATTTTGTGCTCCTGGACAGATCCTGGCAACACGGTGGGGCCCTGGGACCCAAGAAGGGGATTTTGGGTAGACAGCTGTTGCTGGCAGCATTCCTAGGAGAGCTGTGGTTCCCCCTGCTGGCAAAGGCAGCTTTTAGTGGTTCTCTTCCTGTGCATTCACTTCCTCTCTAGCTTAGAGGGCCAACTGCTGTGTTTTGAGACTTGGCTGAGAAATCCTAAGAGAAATATGGGCTATTACTGGTACAATTTAGTTGTGATTCTTTTAAAGTTTTGCTGTTTTCATAAAATGATTGCTTTTTAAAGCTTTGCCATCTGGTTATAGGCTTTACATTTGAAAATATTTTTATTCTATCATTAACACACATGAACTCTCATACTCATGCTTTAGAAAGAAACTTATTTTCCTTGCCAAGTATGTGGGGTATTGCTGTTGGACATTTACCCATACAAGTTTAGAGCCAGAAGGAGCCAAGGCTACCTATATGTCTAGGCTACCTTTTCTGGGATGTGTCATTTCCCCAGAAATGGGAGTTTTGGAGTGGCCAGGAGCTTGAGGCCTTAGACCTCCATCCTTGCTTTTGTCAGGTTTGTCTTGCCATTATTCAGTTCGCATACTGGGGAATCCATGATTCTTATTATTACTCGGATATTGGTGGATAAAATGTTTAAAAGTAAAGTCTATAAATCAATTGAATCCAATCTTCCCAGCTTGAAATTAGGGATTTTGAATGCAGAGAAGTACACCTATGATTACCAATGTCATTGCCCTCCATTGTGTCTATTTTTAAAGTGAGATTCTGTGGTACAGGCTGCGTCAGCAAGGTCAGGCCTTTCAGTTTATCTCATATTGGTTCTTCAGAGGACAGCTCTGATATGGTGACAAGTGGTGTTCACAGAGTTGGCAGAGGTGTGTGGCTTTCCAAGATCTCAAGAGCTATAAAGGAGTCCTGTTAATAAGTTAGCGAGGCAAACTAATTAGAGATTCTGGCTTGATGACTAAAATGGAGGCAGGTGGTGCCCTGCCAGACCTCTTTGCACCAGTGCCCATCCTGCCTGCTCTCAGTGTTGGCTGCTAATGGTCTATAACTGCCCTGTTGCCTCTCTTTGCAACAGGGAGGTTCCCAGGGATGTTCTTCATTTACCTGAAGCTTTAGACTGACTGACATGAGAATCCAAAAGCTTGGCCCTTGTGCCTCTAGGTGGCTCAGTGCTGTAGTACAGTCTGTGCTCCAGAGCTCCTCATGGGCTCAGGGCTGGAGCTGGTTGCAGTTGAAAACACCTTCTGGCTCTACTCCTTCCCATACCCTAATTTTTCTTCTCTCACTGTCCTTCCCCAGAGATCTTTGTCATCCTTAGTAAATGTTATGGTTTGTCCAGTTGTCCCCCCAAAGCCTCATGCAGTGATAGGGTGGCAGGCTCCTGGAGCTTGTGATGAATTCATGATCCAATGATTGGATTATGGGTGTGAGTGCTAGTGGGATTACAGGTGTGAGCCTTACATCCAGCCCAGGGTGGATGGCCAGAATGCAATATAAAGAAAGGAGAGAGGCTTGCTAGCTGCTGCCTCCTCTGCTCCTCCCTTTTTACTCTTGCTGTTTTCCACTGCCGTGAACTGCTGCCTCTGCCTTCAAGCTAGCCAAGTGTGGACTGAAACCTCCATAAATTGTGAGCTAAATAAACCTGTTCTTCCTTAATTTTAGGTGCTAGGTATTTTGTCCCAGCATTGAGAGAAAAATAGCTGAGACAGTAAAGCACATGTATAAGAATGCTTGTCGTAAATTTCTTGGAAACTCAATCCAAGATTTTTGTGAATAAGTTTCTATAACTTTTCAGTTTACAGACATCATTGTTTCCCCATATCTGTTCATTTGAGAATAGAAATGTGTGTTGGGCTTTCCGTTTGCCTTAGTTTGGCACTCACTAACTTGCTTTGCTGATTTGATGTATATAGAAAATAAATCTAACTCATTTTAGCTTTTTTTTGTACCAGGGATTGAACTCAGGACCTCACACTTGACAGGCAGACACTGTGCCACTGTCCCCAGAAATCTAACTCATTTTAATTCCCTGCAGGAGAAAACCAACTTTTCAGGTGGTTAATGGACTATGAGCCTGAGTGGAAAGGCCGCATCAACCAGCAGGATGATGATGGCTGCACCATTCTCCATGTCGTGGCTGCTCACTCGCCAGGATACCTCATCAAGCGTAAGTGGCAACACCAGGCCGGAGGGTGTGACGTGCGCTCCATGACTTTGGGCTTTTGAAAACCTGTGTGATTCACCACTGCAGTTTTTTTGGCTCCATCCTATGGCAGGCTCATATCTGAGACAAAACTTTCTCTTCAGTTAAACATGATTGGGAGGATAGGCCCTATGTAGAAAGAAGGTTGAAGGAGAGAAGGAAGAATTACTGGGCTTCTGTGCTTTTTTGGCTTTATGTGGCTTCTGAGTGTGTTTCATGATTCATAGACAGGGGTGTTGGCTGATTTGTTCCCTCCCTGATCACATTACAAAGTGCTTTATTTTATGTGGAATCAGTGTTAACTGCCTGAGATAAATTTAGGACAGACAACAGACATGGTACTTATAATTTAACACAGAAAGTGTATCCTCTCATACTATTGCAGCTAGGTTGAAGGGGACGGCTAGTAAATGCAGAGAAAAGCTGGATCTCTTGGCATGGACATATCTTATTTATCTGTGAAACAGGAAGACTTTCATTTCTACAGTTGTTTGAGGGCACTCATTTCCCCAGAATTCTCAGCCCCCTCAGTCATCATTTTTTCTTTTCGATAGAGGGAAACTCCACCACCCCCCGCCCGCCCATGTTAATGGACTCTCAACTTTGGTGGAACAGCAGTGGCAAGAAGTGGTAGGAAGTTTGTGCCTGGTGTTGCTGCAGCCTGGAGCTGATCATGGCAACCAGGTTCGGCTGGTGACTGATACAGACACTAGAAATTTGTATTCTTTTTTTTTTTTTTAAAGACTGAAATCTTATGATTTTCAAATGTGTGCTTACTTAAGCATGCCTGTGGAGCCCTCCTTTTGGGGACCTCTAGTTTGGTGGTTACTCTTGGGAAACTTCAGCCCTTACTTTCAACGGGTCTCAGGCAGAGCCCAGTGAGGCCCGTTTCTCCAGTGTCATTCCCTGCTGGATGGGGGCTGCACAGCCAACATCTGGAGAAACCGAGAAAGGGCGTTTTATGGGTATTTTTTGGAAGTTTATTGAAATGTAATTCATAATTATATAATTGCCTTTTTTAAAGTGTACACACTCAATGCTTAGTATAACAGTTTTTCAGCTACTGCATCATTGCAGTCAATCTTAGAACATTTTGTCATTCCCAAAGGAAACACCAGATCCCTTAGCAGTCGTTCCCCATTTCCCTGTATCCTGCCAGGCCCAAGCAACCACTAATTCACTTTCTATCTCAATGGATTTGCCTATTCTGGAAATAACATATAAATGGAAATACATAATGTAAAATATTTTGTGATGAGCTTTTTTCACTTGTATAATATTTTCAATATTAACCTAGGTCAGTGGTGATCCTTTTAGAGATGAGTGTCCAAAATATAGCCCTAAACCCACTTACTTAAAGCAAAGTATAAACACAGTAATTTAACCTGAATACTGAGGTTTTAGTTTAGACAAAACAACACATAGACAAACATCTTTTATCTTAAAAGAAAAACAGTGGGGGACCCTAGGTTTGGTACCACTGATCTAGGTTGAGGCTGGAATTAATAATATTTCATTCTTTTTATTATCAACTAATATTCACTCCATGACTATACCATATTTTTTCATTCATTCATCAGTTGATGGATATATGAGTTGTTTCCACTTTTTGGCTGGTATGTATAATGCTGCTATAAACATTTCTATAATTTTCATTATATAGGTCATGCACTTTGTTGATTAAATTCATTTCTGGGTTTTTTTGTAAATATTGTAAATTCTTTTCTTGGTTTCTTCCTAGGAAATTTTATTATTTGTGTATGAAAAAGCTACTAGGTTTTGTATCTTGCAAACATACTGATTTTTTTATTAGTCCTATCAATTATTTTTATTTTTATTTTTTATTTTTTTCTATCAGTTATTTTTAATGAAGTCTTTAGGTTTTTCTATAAATCATGTCATCTTTAAATTGGGATACCTTTATCTCCTTCTATTCGGATGTATTTTATGTTCTCTCTTATCTCATTGCTATGGTAAGACTCCCATTGCTATACTGAATTAGAATGGTAACAGTGGATATCCTTGTCTTGTTTCTGCCTCAGATGAAATGATTTCAGTTTTTCTTCATTCAACACAATGTAGACTATAGATCTGTCATATATACTCATTATTTTGTTGAGTTATATTCTTTCTATACTTAATTTTCTGAAGGCATTCTAAAATTATGAATTCTGTTGACTTTCTTTCTATGTATATTGAGGCGTTCATATGGTCTTTCCTTCAGTCTGTTGATGTGATATGTTATGTTTGTCAATTTTCATATGTTGAGCTATATTTGCATCCTGGGGATTAATTCCACTTTTTCATATCATATCATCTTTTTGATGTGATGTTGGATTTGATTTGCTAGTATAGTTTTGAGAATTATTGCATTTATGTTAATCAGAGATTGTGGTCAATTTTCTTTTGTTTTTGTGTATGTTTCTTTGGCCTTGGTATCGAGGTAATGCTAGTCTTGTAGAATTAATTGGGAAGATCCCTTTCCTTTTAACTTTGAAATAGTGTGACAAGATTTTGTGTTAGTTTTTCTTAAAGTTTGATAAAATTTAGCAGTGAGGCCATCTACTCCTGGGATTTTCTTGGTTGGAAAATTTTATTTTTGATTCAAGGCAGTTATCTGCTACTGGTCTGTTTAGTTTTTCCATGTTCTTGAGATTCAACTTTGGTAGGTTATAGGTGTCTAGAATCTATTTACTTATTGGGGGTTTTCTAGTTTGTTGGCAGATAGTTGCTTGTAATAATTCACAATGATACTTTAATTTCTGTGATATTAGTTGCAATTCCTTTTCCATTTTGTTTGAGTCTTCCCCCGTCCCTTCGTTAGCCTACCTAGAGGTTTGTCACTTTTATTTTTTCAAAAACCTAACTCTGCATTGGGCTTCCGCATTTTTTTGGTTCCATTTTTATTTTTGTTCATTGTTATTTCTTTCCTTCTACTTATTTTTGGGTTAGGTTTGTTCTTGCTTTTCTAGTTCCTTGAGTAACATTATCAAATTCTTTAGTTGAAATCTATCTTTTCTTTTTTGCTGTAGACAACTATTCCAATGAAATTCTTT